CTAATTACAATTGAGAACTTAAGTCTATTTTCATATTAGATTGTACTATTTAGTTAGTTTTAGAAACTTAGTCACTTTACCACATTTACTTTAGTTCAGAGCACTTTTCAGATCACTTGGTAAATCACTTTGAAGTCGTTCCAGGTGATAGAGTGGACAACTAACAATAATGTGTTCGATTGTTAGAAGTATATCACAAACATAGCACAGTTTTTGTTGTTCTTTCTTCATTAGGTACTGGTGGGTTAACCTGGTATTTCATATTCTCAAGCGGTGTTGTATGACTTGATCTCATCGTTTTTGTGGCATTATCCCTTTTGGTGACAATTTTAGGTTGATGTGTTGTAGTTTGTTATTGTCAAGTTTTTTCCATCTTTCGAGCCATATTCTCATTGAAAATTCTTTGATGGTGTTTTGAATGTCGGAATGAGGAATTTCTAGGAGCTCTTTATGTGATCTATTCGTATAGCAGGCTTCTTTAGCTTGCCGATCAGCTTTTTCATTACCTGTTATGCCTACGAGAGATAGAATCCAAACAAATTCTACCCTTTTATTCTTACTGTAAAATTCTTCTAAATCAATTTTAATTTGGCATAGTATTGGGTGGTTTGGGTAAACCCTTAATATTCCTTGTACTGCACTTAAAGAATTTCTGAAAATTACTGCTTCCAATTTGGGCTGGTTTGATATATGTTGTAGGTCTTTAAATATGGCATACAATTCGGCGGAATATATGGACTACTCTTTAAGTAGCTAGAAGTGATGTTTAATTGTTTCGTCAACGAAAGCTGCGCCTACCGTTTCGATTTCAGAACTTTTTTCGCATCTGTATATATTTAGTAATATCTTTTGTACTTGTCTTAAATAGCTTGAAACCGTTGTAGAATTATATGTGATGAAGTATCAGATTTAGGATACAGTAGAAGATTTGTATTACATTTGGGGAGTTTTATGGTCCAAGGAGGAGGGTAATTTATTTCATTGGAAATAACTTTCGGCAAATTGAAGCCTGTGATTCTTTTACTATAGTTTATTTTTATGAACGAGAGAGTAATTAGCATAATTTTAACTGGTACCTTCGACCACTCCATGGGCGTGCTCAAGATTAATTGAAAAATTACTTTGAATAATTGTAAAAAATAAATGAATTATTTCAGTGAAGTGTTATGTGTATGTAAACAAAAGTGACCTCTTTTATCACACACTATATTAGAACTGACTGGCCTACATTAAAAAGGGTTTTAAAAAATTCACATTTTCTTTAATTTTTAAAAATTACAAAAGAGAAAAAGAGTTTTTAAAACCGTCTAAGGTATGTTAAATAGATGAATAAAAATATTAATATAAAACTTACAGCTATTTGTTACAAATCCAAATCAGATTCAGAAGATGAACTTCTAGAACCAAGATTTATAATAACTGGCTCGATCATTTTATCAGTAATATTGTCCAGCTTCCACATTTTTTCCTCTTCTTTAATAGTGTGATTTACTGCCTTTTCACAGTTTTCAGGTTTTACATTATTTATGGCCTCCAAAAACAACTGTTTAACATCATGAATTTTAAAAGTGGTATTTTTTCTTGAAACTTCACTCTTTATCTGTCCCATACCAGTTCAATCGGGTTTAATTCACAATGATATGATGGGGATCTAAGTACTGTCATTCCACGATTTTTGGCAATTTCATCAATTTAGTATTTTTTAAATTTTTCTTTATGAAGGGCACACAACGAATAAAGTTCCTTTCTTATAGATCCGGGATGGTACGTAATATTTTTTGAACTCAGCCAATTCTGGAAGTCTTTTTTTAACCACTTGGTTGTGGGTTGTCCTTCTATAAGTCTGGAGTGATAACTTGCATTATCCATTACTATTACACAGTTCTTAGGAAGAAGATCTATCATTTGTTCGAACCATTCTTGAAAGACATCAGCGTTCATGTCTTCATGGTAGTCACCGGTACGAGTTGATTCAGAAGTTAATAAACACCTTCAACAAAACCGTCTGAACTGCCAATGTGTACTGATATCAGCCTGCGCCCCTTTCCTGATGGTGGGTTTAAACCAGTAGATAAGTTATTTACAAAAGCGTGCCCTTGACTTGTAACAGTTTCATCCTGCCAAAATTTATTTGGTGTATGACCCTCGTTGATCCATGTTTCATCAAGATAAAATATTTTTCTTTTTTGGTTTCTCATTTCCTTTATGGTTCTTAGAAAATGTCTTCTCCATATGACAATATAGCTTCTTTCTAATAAAATAGACTTTCTGGGATTCTTTTTCCAGCGGAAGCCTATTTCTTTTAAAAGTTTTCATAACGTAATTCGACTCATTTCTGGGTAATCCTTATCATCCCGAACTGAGACAAGAACTTTATCCAATGTTGGAAATTCTTGTCTAAAGAAGAATTCATGCACTTTCCGTCGAAGTCCTTCTTTAAAATGATATTCTATTTGAAATTTTGGTTCCCTGGAGCATTACGTGGCATGTGAAAACTACCACATTTCTCTTCTTTAATAACTCTGTAAATCGTATATTTCCCAACACCAAGTGTACTGCTAACTAACGCAACGGTCTCATCAACACTTTCACATAAATGTTTGTCTGTAAATGATTTAAAACAATTAAATATTAATGTTTTTTCATTAACTGTTAAAGGACCAATTTTTCGGCGTTTATACGGCACTTCCAAATTTTCCATATGTTTGATTGTTGAAACCCTTACTTCGTGGAATGCACTCATTTCAGATAAAATAAAACGTTTTATTTTATCTAAAGAATTAAACTTTATTTTGCAAATAGGTAGGTACTTATTAAACTTTTATTGGTTATATATAACCAATAAAATAAACATCTTACATTTTTTGCAAATTCATTAGTACCTGTTAACCTCCATCACTCCGACACTGGCAACCTTATTTAGGGATTAGTAACCCTCACAACTATTGTATTCTATTCTGCTCCAACCTTTATATCTGGTGGTCATACTCAATTTAAAATTGTTTTCCTATATACTTCTGTAAACTTGTTGACAAATAACTGTTTTTCATTGAGTCACCTGAAGTGCTTCATTTAGTTCATTTATACTTAGTGATGAGTTCAGTGGATGATTGCTATTGTTGATGATTATTTCTTGTTCTGAGATATTTTACACAATGTTGAAAGTGTACTCAAGTAATAACTACCTACTTGTTTACCGCTGTTGTCTTGTAATAGATATACATTATTTTTTTTTATTTAATAAAACTCCAACAGGAATTTTATGATTATTGCTACCTAATCATTCACTATGATCAATAAGCAAGTTAGTTCTATATACAAAATATTACAGAAAACGTATCTAAGTTTACATTCAGCAATATTCCTTAGGCTCTATATTATAGTACTACTAGCCAACGTGTACACTTTAGCCGCACTTTGCTCTGCTTTTTCACTTTTACTCACTTATAGCACTAACTCAAACGGCTTCGTTCTCGTAAGTCTTCTTATCTGGTTGGCGTTGTCTAGAACTTTGATGGTCTAGAGATTCACGTGGTTGGAGAGCCTTTGTTCATGATTCTCGGCAAACTTACTTATTGTCTGGATAACCGTATCCATCTGAAGATCTCGATGAAGGTCACAGTTTCTGAAGTACCATGGAGCGTTAACGATGTTCCGTAACACTTTATTCTGATATCGTTGTATATGTTGGATGTTACTTTCTTTTGTACAGCCCCATAGCTGTATCCCGTATGTCAATATCGGTTTAAGCACTTGCTTATACAATACCAATTTGTTATAAGAAGACAGAGTGGATTTTTTTCCCATCAACCAGTACATCTTTCTGAACTTAATTTCTAATTCCTCCTTTATGTGCTTTCCAACGTAGCTTGGAATCTAATGTCATACCCAAATATTTTGCCGTATTTGCATAAGGTATTTGGTTTCTATTTGTACTAACTGGGATATGTTGTTCTCTTTTGTTAGTAAAATTAGCATGAACAGATTTCGTTTTATTCAAATTAATAGGCCAGCACCTGGTCCAGATGTTAATTTGTTCAACAGAGTTCTGTAGCATGGTTGCTGCATCCTTGTGGTTTTGTCCGATTGCTAGAATGCATCGTCTGCAAATGTCGCAATTGTGTTAGGTTTTAATGATGCAATATCGCTGGTACAGAGCAGGTATAGCACTGGTCCCAGGACACTTCCTTGTGGAACTCCAACTTTAATTTCTCTTGATTCTGAATATGCTTTCTCATATTTAACTCGAAAGTATCTGTCGGATATATATGATTCTAGTAGTTCAGAATATTGTTTTGCTACGTAGCATCTCATTTTATGATATAATCCGTCATACCAAACCTTGTCAAAAGCCTAAGCTACATCGAGGAAAATTGAGGAACGGACTTTTCCTTCCTCTAGAGCTTTTTCTACTATATTTGTTATTCTATGTACCTGATCTATCGTTGAGTGGCTTGCTCTAAACCCAAACTGATGATTAGGAATTAGATTTGTTTCCTCTATAATCGGTTTTAGTCTCTTCAAGAGTAATTTTTCGTATAATTTAGACATGACAGGTCATTATAATTTCTGCCACCTTCCATATCATTGGTACGTACCTCAGTCTAAAGAAAGCGTTTATAAGATGTGTTTATTTTATGATAGATTTCCTTAGAAGTTGCTTTAACACTTTCCCAGTAATTAGATCAAATCCAGGAGCTTTCTTTGGATTCATATTTTCTTTTATTTCCAAATATATTTCTTTTGGAGTTACAAGGCTAATATCTAATTATTTCAATGTTGAAGGCTAATTATTTCTTGTTCTTCATTTGGTTGAAAAGTATTTTCTAGGTGGTCAGCAAACCTATTGAATAATAGATATACATACTGTATATACTTCTTTATTTGATGATTTCGTGTTGGTTCTTTGTAAACTTTGTATAGAAAATGAAAAAAATCAACAGTAGTGTTATAGTTTATTGTGTCTCTGTTATAATTTTTAAAATTTTTAGATATTTAAAATGAAATTTAAGTTCTCCGTTAAAGATATACTAAACAAGGGTAGAACTTCTATAGAAAACATCGAGGTAATCAAAGAATGGTTATTGACAGTTAAAGAAGATTTTGTACCGTCGACAATACAAGATGAATTAGTCGTATTGTTTCTGTTATCATGTGATAATGACATAGATCTTACTAAGAAAACTGTCTCTGCATATTATAGGTTAAGAAAGGAGGCACCTGAAATACATGATGACAGAAATACCAAAAGAGAAGATATTAGAAAAGCACTTAACACACTGTGAGTATTATTTTAATCTTTAAAATATTGAGTATAAATTTCAGCATTGTATTTAAATTACCATAGATACATTACGCTTAGAAAGGCGCCTAATATTGAATACATTTTTTAAATTGAATTTTTTGGGTCACAAAAACATTTTAGAATAATTTTTTGTACTTAAAATGTCCTATAACATCAATAAAAACAACTTATGCATACTTTTACAACAAACTATTAATCGATTAATCCCTATTTTTATTTTAGACGAATGATCACTGTCCCGATTAGAACAGTAAATAACTATCAAGTATTATATTTCAGTCTGAGAGATACAAACTATAGAAATTTCGAACTTCTTCCCACCATGAAAGCCTCATTGATGCTCTTAGATATAGAACACCAAAGCAACCCTCCTGATGGAGTTGTTTTTTTAGCCGATATGCAAGGGGTAAGTATATATCTATATATAAGTCTATGATAAGAAGTCACACCGTTTGTCCAGTAAGTTAACGACGCCACCTAGGAAAAAAATCTGAACTACCAACATTTGACATTTCAATCATACCTATTTTGTTCTTGAAACGATACAGTTAGTTTATTGCTAATTTATTCTACAAATTGATGATTCAAGTACTGTTAATCAGAAAGTTAACTACTTCACAGTAATTAATTTTTTGGCAAAGATTCTAACAATAAAAGTTATACCTGTAAAAACTCTGCTATACCGTTTCTGCTTCATTTTCCACGTAAAATCGCATAAGAAAATGTCCCCATTTTGCTCATTTTTTGAGCGTTTTGAAGTGGGGGTAGAATAGTTGGATCGTGACGTATAATACATAATTGGAAAAGAGAGGGGGTAACGAATATGTTAAGGCAGAAAAACCCACATTGCGGCTTCATATCTCCTTTGTTATTGGTCCGATTGGAGCGTGTGATACGTTGAATATACCTCGTAAGACACATTGCCAGGAATACTATAAAACAAGTACTGATGACCAATGGATACATTGCCAGGTTATTAGAAAAATACTTCTGTATCTAGAAAAATACATTGCAAAGATTTATATTTGTAGTTTGGACTATAAGTATATTAAATAATATTGTGTATTTGAATTAAATGAAAATTATCAAATTTTCACAAAATATAATGAAATCATTAAGCAAATCTACAATTGTTTCGCTCAAGGTCATTAGCATTTTCAAGACTTTTAGCAAAACAATTGTAGATTTGTTTAATGTATTCATTAGATTGTGTGGTATTGTATTTTACTTCAATTATTATGAACAGATTCCATAAAGTAGGGGTTTATAACAAAGGAGAATGGCGTATAAACAAATTGTAAAGGCACTACAAACAAACTTTTTAAGTAGGCTGCGAACTAATTATTTTCATTTTTAGTTTGGTGTAAGGCACATTGTCAAGTTAAGGCCAGATCCCTTGACGAAATACTTCACGTATCTTGGAGAAGGAGTACCGATTCAATTTGTAGGGTTACATTTTATGAACGGAAATTACTTTTTGGATAAATTGATGAGCATGCTTAGGTTATTTATTAGCCCTGATGTACTTGAAAGGGTGAGTATTATAGTCTAATAAGTGTTGCGATTCGATGTTAGAGAGTGTTGCTATTAGCCTACATTTTTTTGTAAAACTTTGATTTCAAAATTTCCACAAAATTTATTATGAACTCTTATCACTACAGCTGTTTCGGCTGATTCCCTTTTAAGTGATCTAGTTTTGGCATGAGTTTACACTTTATTGTCTTTAAAGAAATAGGTTGAGGAGGAGAGAACTGTTTGTCTTAAGTTGGTCAGAATTATATATGTGTTTTTTAATTTGTTGATTTCCATAGATTCTAACAAAGATAGCTTAAGGCCGTTTTTTAATGTAAAGAATTTTAAATTCGTCATTAAAAGAATAATTATGATCTAGAAGGTGAAGTGCGTATGTAGAATCTGTTTTTCTATTATTGAAAGCCCTTTCATATTCTGCTATTCGTTTATTAAAATTTCTACAAGTTTGACCGATGTAAGTTTTTGAGCAGTCGCCACACTTAAGTTTGTACACACCACTATGTAAGTGTTTTTTTTATTTTGGCTCTTGTTTTTAATATATTTGCCTAAGTTGTTATTTGTTCTGAAAGCTTTTTCTTTCTTTTTTATATGTTTGGGTGTTTTTTTGATATTTTGCCTGTATATGTAATCGAGCAGAAGGTACTGGGTTTTTTCTCTGGTGGTAGAAATACTAATTTTAGGGCTTTCTTGTATAGTTTTTAATTTAAAATTTTATTAATTGTTTGTTTGTTGTATTCATTGTTTCTGTTATTCTATGTAACATACTATGTTTGGCTGCCAGTTTAGGTTGTGTGGGATGGGATGAGAAGTCATGTTTGTTTTTAAGTCTGATGATTTTTAAATCTAAAAAATTTATGGATTGATTTTCTTCTTTTGCTATTGTAAATTCAATATGACTATGAAGTGAATTAATATACGATAAAAATTGGTTGAGTTGCCTATTAGTTCCTGTGAAACATACCAGTACATCGTCTACGTATCTCCACCAATATAAAAACTGCTTAACTATGGGATCTTTTGAAATCTTTGTCTCTAGATAATTCATAAAAATATCTAATAGCAATGGGCTTAGAGGATTGCCCATTATATGTCCTGCACTGTTATTTGTATATAATATTTGATTATTAAATTCAATATAGTCCTGGTTTATGCAAATTTCAAGAAGATATATAGATATATATATATATATATATATATATATATATATATATATATATATATATATATATATATATATATATGAAGAATGATCACAGCTGTCCAATTATTAATTAGTATAATGGTAAGGTTGATTGGGTTAGCAGCTGAATAATGAAAGCCAAAGTGTGCTCTTTTCAACTATTTCGTTATATTTCGTTAAATTTCTTTAACATCTTCAGACGTATGCTACAATATGTTACAAAACGGTGAAATTGTGTATTTTACATAAGATGTAGTGAACACTTACTTGTGTGAGGTTGCAGGCAAAAGTGGTATTTGAAAGTTCCATGTTGAAAAACTTTTTTGAAGATTTTTTATAGCAAAAAAAGGAATAAGTTGTATGTGTTATAAGGTGGCTTGAAAACTCAAACAATACAAGTGCATTTTTGTTTTTTTCCTCCAGTGTGCCAGTACAATACAAATATTAAAAAACGTTGAACATTTAAGAAACAAAACAGTTAAAACAAAACTACATATCACATTGTCATTTTTTTGGCAGCTATGTTGGTGGAAGGTCTAGTCAACCAATGCACAAGGAGGTGGAAATCTAGTATGTACCTCAAGGTTAATGTGTCTTGTCAGCTATCATATTAGGAGATGTCAGCCAGAGAACTAAAGCTGTGTTCAGTTTATGTGTAAAGTTACATTTAATTGAAAATTATGTTATGTTAATTTAAGACAATTAAATTATGTTATTAATAAATACATATAGAATTTATTTATTTCTTTGTGATTATTTCTTTTAAAGTATTTTAATTATTGTTATTACTCTTAAAAATTTTATTTCCTGAAAAATGCAACAATTGCAGTAATAATGATTAAGTTTCTACTTCAATTGGATGGTCAGAAGAGTTTTAATAGACAATATTATACTATTCAGAATATTACAATTCGTTGACTTGATTATTTTTTGTTTCCAACTGCAGCAGAAAGGAATAAATTTCACTAAGGTGTTGTATATCTGATTTTGTGTTGATTATATTATCTGTTGTTGCAATGTGGGTCATTTCTAAAAAAAGTCTTCTCTTATATGCTGTTTCTTTTTCGAGGATTTTGACATCTGCAAAATTCATTCTGTGGTTATGGGTGTGAACGTGGTTGGCTAGGGTGCATCTATCTGGGTAAAGTCTACAGTCACTTTTGTGAGTGGTAACACGGTCTTTAAGACGTCTAGAGGTTTGGCCGATATACTTGCCATTACAGTCCATACAAGGGATGCTGTAAACCACATTAGATATTTGGTCATGCGGAGTACGATCTTTCATTTTTGAGAAAATAGAGTTTACTGTTAAAACTGTTTTATTGGCTATTTTGATGTTATCATATGATTTAAAGATTCTACTTAGTTTTGGTGTTAGTTCCCGTATGTAGGGCAGCACACAATATGTTGAAAGGGTTTGACTGGTAACAGTATTCTGTGAATTCGTACTTGCAATGTTCGAATGTTCGGAGGTTGTTAGATTGATAGATGTTACTGATGTAGTATTATATAAAAGTATTTTTAAAAGAAGAGGTGGATAGGAATTATCTATAAAGAGATCATAAAGTATTTTGAGATTCTTTTGATGGAATGATATATCTGAAATTTGTAGAACCCTATTTTTCATTTGTTTTACTAAGTTTAGTTTGGTGGAGTGTTTATGATAGGACATGTAGTTAATGTACCTGCCTGAACTCATTGATTTTGTGTACCAATCAACTATAATGATGTTATCATTTGAGCGGATTAATTTAGTGTCTAAGAAAGGAATAGATTGATTTTCATCTTCGACTTCCATGGTAAACTGTATGTAAGGATCGTAGCTATTGAATATAAATAGTAGTTTATCTATTGTATTGTTGGGTATAGCTAAGACCATGTCATTTACATATTTCTTTAAAAAGAAAAGGTTGAAAGGTAGTACTGGAATGATTGTGTTTAACAGGTCATCCATTACATATGCAGCAAGAATGGGGCTAATTTTTGCTCCCATTGGTGTTCCAAAATTACATATTACAAACAAACTTTTGGAAGACCAATGGGAGCAAAAATTAGCAATGGGAGACTTAAGAGAACGAAGCCGGTTGAGTTAGTGCTTTAAGTGAGTGAAAGTAAAAAAGCAGAGCAAAGTGCGGCTAAAGTTTACATGTTAGCTATAAGTAGAAGTAGTACTATAATGTATTAGAGCGTAGGAAATACAATACATTTTGTTTATATTATGTTATAAATTCTGCAATTTTTTATTTATATAAAACAAGAATGTATAAATATTTGTTTCTTTAGAAGTTAATTGCAGTTAATTATCAGAAATTATTTTGGTAATTAACCTTTGATAGACTAGAGGATAGATTTGGCAATCTTCAAATCAGCAGTTGGCCGATTGCAACAGATTTTAACAATTAATCTCGAAAGTGACAAATATTTACTCGTTATTGTTTCATATAAATTAAAAATGGCAGAATTTATAAAATAGTATAATCAAAATGTACTTTTTAAAAGCTTTCTCTTTTTATATTTGAAGCACACAACACATGCATTATAAAAACATCCCAATACTGCCAAACCCAAATATTTTTGACATCTGCGGCTATATTCAGCTTGTACTTTCGATAAACTCAACCGACAATATTTATCTTTTAAAAAGCGAAATGTGTTTAAATGTGATTTTGAGTGTTTTGTCTGAACGGCGGTCGGAGAATGAATAAATCAATGTCTTTTGATTATAATTATCGCGACATCTAGAAGTCATAACCGCCTACTCTGCACTTTCAGACCAATGGCTTTTATTGTGTATTGTTCATTGTTTCAATGAATAAGTCTATATCGCTCGGTAGCGGACGGATTTTGTCAGCGAACTTTTGGCTAATTACGAAAGGAAAAATGAATTAGCAACAAAGTACGTTGATATTTCAACAATGGGTAAGTCACTATTACCAAGGAAGACCGTATCAAGGAATTTTTCCGCCTCAGACACGATAGATAAAGTAAATGCTAACCAGAAACGCAAAGGAGAACAAAATATGTAACATCAAAACTTTTTTTACACATGTACGTACCTGCACTCTTTTTAATTTAACTTGTTATATAAATAGAGGGAAAAAATTTGGCAATATGGAAATGCGTTTGCTAAGAAATACTGTAAATAAACCTAACCATAATAAAGGTTTGGTGTTAACGTGATTGAAATTCCAGCAAGATAAATTATATATTTATGATTCCCTTTGTTTCAGATACATGTTCATCCAGAAGGTTGGAATCCAATGGAACTGTTGCCAAAGGAATGTCTTCCTAAGGAAGTGGGGGGAGATCTAGGACTAGAAGAAGAGCTTACTAAAAAAACTATGGATTTTTTTAAAGAACGGGAAGATTTTTGGGAGGAGGAAGAAACGATGAGAAAAAGAATAATTAAATAAAAATTGTTTTGTTGTTAATAAAAATTCTTTTTTAATTTTTGTTATTTGTTAGTTGTTTTCTGATTGTAATCCAGGATATATATATATATATATATATATATATATATATATATATATATATATATATATATATATATATATAATATATATTTATATATAATATATATATAATATATATATTTAATATGTATAATATATATATATATATATATATATATATATATATATATATATTCACCTAAATAAAACTGATCGCATTCACAGGTTTTATTTAGGTGAAACATCAAGGCCATTAACACGTATGGGATAATAAACATAGGGTTCAATGGAATAATTCAAATGTAGTCCTAAAAGAAACGGATGGTAGAAAAAGAAAAATCAAAGAAGCGGCTCTAATTATGCTAAATGAGACCAATTGTGTCGCAAATTCCTCGGCAGAATGTAGTAAGATCTGGTTACCCATATTGAAATAGGAAGTTATTAATAAGAAAATACCAGTATTAGTAAGTCAGTAACATACAGGATACGTCATTTATGTCTTTTAAATAACGAACATATAAAATCAGAGTTTGGTGTTTATTGAAGGTAAACTAGATGCACGACCAAATACTTACCATGTCTGGATAGTATTATGAGGTTTTTTTCCTGGTTTTTTCCCTCATAATTTACTATGGAATCACTAACAGCAGAATTTTACTGTCATCATGGCATGTGTTTGTCTTTTTAAAGACGAATTACATGCTATGATTTTTTCTGACGGATATTCTCAAGTTAAAGTTGATTTTATGTAATCGAATGAACTATCTTATAAGTAAAGTCGTCCCAGGAGCGCAACTCAACAATATTGGCAATATCATTTTAAAGTAATCTACTTTAAAATGCATAATGTATGTCTGAATTGTCAATATAAATGAGTCAGATAAAATTAAATTATTAGAAGAATTTCTCACTATGTAACAAAAAACAAAATTTGTTTAATTTACTGTTTGTATTTTGAGAACGATTTCCGAAGTGGAAATTGAAACGTCAATAAACGTATTTTTATCTTTAATAATAAAAATAAAAAATAAAAAATATAAAAATAAAAACATTTATTGCCCTAATAATATATACATATCAACTTAAGATATTTTAGCCTTCTTTCTTCCTGATGTTCCGCTTTTGCACCATCTTCTTCTGATTTGATCTCCTTTCGGCATCCTGGACTTCTCTGGGTGGTTTCCTCGTCTTTTTCTGTAGGTACTTTTTATGGCATCGTACCTACTTCCCTGCTTGGCTGTTTTCCGGCAACCATCCGGCTAGACCCTGATCAGGTGGTCGATCAGTCTGTGGGTTTGTCTATGTATCCTCTGGATCCTGTTCTTCTCGAGGATATCCCTGGTCTTTTGGAGTCTTCTTGTGGCCTGGTGGAAGAAGTATCTTGTCCTGTTCTCAGCCACCTCCCTCAGTGGTGTGTACTGGAGCCTTTCTTTGATGGTTGCATTCGTGATTCTCTGTTCCCATGGTGAACCTTCGATTATCCGGTAGCACGCTGTCTCTGTGGTTTCTAATTTCCTCCAGTGGGTCTCCGCTAGTGAACTCCATACTGGGACTGCATACAACATTACCGACCTCACGTAGGCCTGGTATAACTGGATTTTCTTGGCCTTCGAAAGGGGGCTGGACCTGTGAACAAAAGGAAGTATCAATTTCTTAGCAATATTACCTTTTACCTTGGTTTTTTCTGCGTGAATCCTGAAATTAAGCCTTCTATCGAGGTGGACTCCTAAATATTTGACTGAATCTGCTGCCTGTATTCTGTTTCCTCCTACTGTAATCTCGTTCGGTGGTGGTCTCGTCTCTTGGGTGAACATGATGAATTGTGTCTTCTCCGCGTTGATTTTTATCTTCCATTTTTCGGTATACTCTGTGATTTTTTCTAAGTGGTTTTCCATATTTCTTATAACTCTTCTGTCATCTTTTCCGGATGCATATACCGCTGTATCGTCTGCATATAGAGCCGTGGATGTTCTATGATCTGTAGGTAAATCTGAAACAAATATGTTGTAGAGTAATGGAGATAAGATGCTGCCCTGGGGCATTCCTTCTTGGATTTCTTGTATTGTTGACATCTTTTGGTCAGCTGAAATTTGAAAGGTTCTATTAGATAGATAAGTATCACATATGTTGATTAAATAATGTGGGAGTCTAGCTCTGTCCATTTTGAAGATTAGTGCCTTTTTCCAAACCGTGTCGTATGCCTTTTCTATATCCAATATAGCTAATCCTGTTTTTTGTTTCCTGTTGAACTTAATTTTCGTATCGCTGATTATTCTTGCCAGTTGTAGTTCGCAATTTCTTCCTCTTCTAAATCCGAACTGGTCTTCTTGGATAATTCTTCTTCTATCAGCATGTTTTGTTAGTCTCTTGAAGATTGTTTTTTCTAGTATTTTTCCCATCGTTTCTAGGAGAGAAATAGGCCTATAGTTTTCCGGTCTTCTTCCGTCTTTCCTGGGTTTTAGGAGGGGAATAATTTTTGCGTGTTTCCAGTTGCTTGGAAAGTGTCCTTTTTCTAAGCAAAATTTGTAGATGTAGTAGAGTTGGACAATTATCTTCTTTGGAAGTTCCTTTAGTGTGATGTTGTGGATTCCTTCGTGTCCTGGGGCTCTGCTTCCTTTAAGTTTCCTGATGATTCTTCCTACTTCGTATGGGCTGGTGTAATCTTCTTCTTCTATTTGGAATTCATTTCTTCTTTTTATTCTGTTGTATTCTTCTTCTACTTCTTGTCTTGTTCTTGCATCTGACATGTTTTGGTTTTGTCTATGCGTAGCTGCCAATCTTCTTGCTATTGCATCCACTTTACCTTGTGTTTCGAAGTGAGTTCCTTCTTCGTCGATGATTTGTGGCATCTTTTGTTTCCCTCTTCTTTTGGCTTTCAGCATTTTCCATACGTTTCCATGTTGTTCTTCAGCTTTCCTAATGTTGTTATGCCACTGGTTTTCAGTAAGACTCCTCAGTCTTACTCTTATTTCTTCTGATAGTATGTCTCCGTAGTCCTTGAATTCCTGTCTTCTTGTTCTTTGGAATGCTCTTCTAGCCTTATTTCTGTCCTTGATGATGTCCTGAAGTTCCGTAGGGATAATTAGTCCTTTGTTGTTTGTCATTGATTTTGGTACGTTGTCCTCCATGGCTTGTTGTATTTTTCTTGTTAGTTCTTCTATTTTTCCTTCAACTTCTTCTATGGATTGGAATTCTCTTTTCATCTCTATTTGATTAAGTTGTCTTCTATAATTTGGCCAATTTGCATCCTTCCATCTCCATCTTTCTACCGGTTCTATTGTTGGTAAGTCGATTCTTGAAGTCATCTTTCCTATCACTGGTTTGTGATCCGAACTGCATTCAAAGTAGGCTCTTACATCTTCTATAATGACGTCTTTTGTGATGAAAAAGTCCAACGTTGAGTTGTGTTGATCTCTCTGGGGGCTGATTCTTGTAGGCTCGTCCGGAGCAAATAACATTTTGTTCCTGTCTTCTGTGTATCTTAGTAGTGCTATGCCGGGTCCTGAATTTGCATAACATCCCCAGGCTTCATGTTTGGCGTTGAAATCTGTGTTGTTAGCTTAGATTAAGATATAGGCGCCGGAGTTAGGCAACACAGATGACAGGGATGTCATGTGAACGTAGCCGAAGCTCGGGCAAGCATGTATGTTTGAGGGTTGAGAATAAACTGATGTTGTGAAGTAACGATTATTATTTGTAACCCCTCTTTGATAACACGACATGGTGGCAGCTGGTGCTTTGTTTTGTTAACATTAAACAAGCAAAGAGTGGTCGAACGTGACAACAGTGCAAATCTTATGCATAACCTATAAATCAGAGGGGACCTAAAATCCTTAAAATGGATGCACCTATCCAAATAAATAAAGAAGTGTTTGCGAACATTTCGGCTCCAAGCGAATTTGATTTTACACAGCCCCAGACATGGCCCCAATGGAAGAAAAGAGTAGAGAGATATATGTCTGTAAGTGGATTTGGACAAAAATCTGACAAGGATAAATTAGACCTACTGTTGTATTTAATGGGAAATGAAGCAGAAGATATTTTACTTCAAAATCAACCAGTGGAGAATGCATCCTTTCAAGATGTAATGCAGATTTTCGACAATCATTTTATTCCCCGAAGAAATACAATCTTTGAGAGATTTCAATTTAATTCAAGGGTACAAAGGCCAGGAGAACCTGTGGGAAACTTTATTTCAAGTCTACATACTCTTGCAGAGCACTGTAGCTATGGAGCTCTTAAAGATGAGTTAATTCGTGACAGGATAGTTATCGGAATAGCTGATAAAAAGGTGAGCGAAAGAATGCAACTAAATGATGGTTTGACACTAGAGAAGGCAATACAAATAGCACGCCAAGCTGAACTTCAAGATAGTCAAAATAGAATTATGAGACAGGAGCAGTCAGTTAGTGCAGTTAAACAGGACTACAGGGAGCGTAGTGATAAAAGACATCAAGGTAAGAGTTTTGCTAAACAAGAAACAACTCATGAGAAAGTTAAGGAAGGTTACAGATGTGGATACTGTGGCATACCTACATGTAAAAATAGGGAGAAATGTCCAGCCAAGTTCTCTGAATGCAGATCTTGTTCACGTAGAGGTCATTGGAGTGTGATGTGCAGGAAGAAAGCTGTCAGAGCTGTTAAGTGTTCAAGGTCCACCAGTAGCAGTAGTACAGATGACGAAGGAAGGGATTCAGTAAATCAAGTGGTACATACAGATTCCTTTATTGGCCAAGTGTACCTAGACAAGAAGGATCGTTGGTATGTAGACATCTTATTGGATGACAAATTTAAGGTACCTTTTTTTGTGGATACAGGAGCAGATGTTAACTGCTTTCCCTATGAAAAATTACCTCCAGAATATGTGGGTAAAATTGTGGCATGTGATGCAATTGGTGCAGCGGACGATCATAAATTGGACACAGTGGGTAAGCTACATATAAAATTTACTTATGACGGTT